TTGATATGATTTCAGTTTATTTGAACTTTTTAAAATCTGTTGTGTGGCCTCACATAGGTTGATCCATGAGTTGAGAAGAAGAATGTGTATTATATAACTACTGCATAAAATGTTCTATAAATATCTATTAAGCCCATTTAGTCTATAGTGTCAATTAAATCCTATGTTTGTTGTTGTTGTTGTTGTTGTTGATTTCCTGGCTGGATGATCTGTCTAGTGCTGAAAGTGAGTGTTGAGGTCTCCAACTATTATTGTCTTGGGATCTCTCTCTCTCTCTTTTGCTCTGATAGTTTTTGGTTTATATATCTGAGTGCTCCAGCATTGAGTGCATATATATTTAGAATTGTTATGTCCTCTTGCTGAATGAATACATAATGACATTCTTTTTCTCTTTTTATAGTTTTTGTCTTGAAATCTATTTTATCTGATACAAGAATAGCTTCTCCTGTTCTTCTTGGTTTCTATTTGCAAGGAATATTTTTTCTATCTTTTTACTTTCAATTTATGTGTGCCTTTATTGGTAACATGGGCTTCTTATAGACAACATAGGTCTTGGGTTTTCATCCATCCAGCCATAGACATTCATTCTGTCTTTCGATTGGAGACTTTAGTCCATTTACCTTCAGTATTATTATTGAGAGGTAAGGACTTACTGCCATGTTGTTATTTGATTAAAAGTTATATTTTTAGCCTTCATCCTACTTACCTGTGTGAAGGGTCTGAATTTTCAGCCCACTTCTTCATTCTTAAACTCTCCTTGCCTTCAGGTGAATTAAACCACTCCAATTATTGGTTTCCTTGTTTGAACATTCTGAAAAAAATAGTGCTCCCTCCCCTGATTGTTGTGAGGAATAAGTAATGGCAATGCCAGTATTTTGTAAAATGGGAAGCATGTTTTAGATGTTGAGTGTTATTAGTATTAATCTCTCAGCTGGAGTGTTCACTTTGAACAGAAGTGATTTCATGTGGAAGAGAGATTAAGTTTAACATTTAAACTTTTTGGGTTCCTAAATATCTATTTATCTATTTTACAGTTACATATTTCAAAATACATTTTAAGTAAGAAAAATTCATAGTTACTTACAATTGCCATTCCTGAAATAATTAAGTAGATTCCTTGTGGCATTTCACCTTCTTTACAAATGATATCTCCATAGTCAAAATAGGCAGGTTTGGCTCTTTCCTGGATGAAAACAACAGAAGAGAAAAGGAAAGTCAACACAAAATCATCATAGTCTACTTTTCTAAATATAAATAAGATTTTAAAGCTAAAAATGGTTTTCAAGCAGCATAAAAATATAAACTAGATTCTTGATTTATTAAAAAATTGTAACATTCTCACATACCACATCAACTTTTACTAATAAAGGGAAAGCAAAATAAACTGTTGGTTTTATGATAAGTACCTAGTACAGTAACTAGTACAGTACAGTAACTGATGTAAATACCTAATGAATGAATGAGTACATTAATGAATGAAAACCTTTTATTTCCTTGCTCCTACTTGGGACATGCGTTATAATGATAAGCTAAACAAATTCCCTGCCTTCAGAAGAATTTTTAGTTACGTTGGGCAGAAATTTACAATGAAGTGTAATAATTATGACAGAGGAGATGGCGTAATGCCCTATAAAAAATACGGAAAAGTCACAGGACCCTGTCTTATTTATTCAGTGAGACTTTACAGAGGAAGGGCTAGCTAAACTGAGACCTGAAAATAGAGTATTAGATAGCTGGGATCAGATGAGATGAAGACCATTGAGGGCAGAAGATTCTGTACATGCAAAAGCGCAGAAGCAAAAAGAATATCTGCAGGTAGGGTACCTGCAAAAGATTCCTTATGTCTCTGTCAGGGAGGGATGGAGATGAGGGCTGAGTTACCCATTAGCCATCAGTAGGTACAGTGCCTAGAGTCCACAATACTTTTAAGGACTCACAACAATGTTTAAATGTCTTTTAAAATCAGAAGGAGGGGAGATTTTTAGTTAGAGAGAAATGTTTTAGTATATAATACTAATATATTCATCTTTGTACTAACACAGTCATGAGGAATCATTTTAATACTTTTTAAAAAAGGAAGAGGCCCACTAATGCAAAAGTGCCGAGGGCCATAGTGCTCATCAGGCTTCCTGCAACTGCTCTGACTTCATCCACTTCCTCCATCACTGCTTCTGCCACGGGGGCCTTTGTGATGCTCCTTGAACACACAGGCACGCTCCGTCTCAGGGCCTTGTGCCTGCTATTCCCTTTGCCTGGAGGGCTCTTCCCAACAGGGTTTGCTCCCTCACTTCCATCACAAGTGTCACCTTATTAGAGAATCTTTCCCTTACCACTCATAGGAAATAGCTGCCCCTTTTTTCCATCTCATTTTCTCCATAGCACTTAGCACAATCTCATAGATTATAGGTTTTATGTGTTGGTGTTTACTGTGTTTGTTGTCTATTTCCATTCATATAACATAAGGTATACGAAAGTAGGGACTTCATCTATTTTGTTCCCTGCCCTGTCCAAAACATAGAACAGTATCTGGTTCATAAAAGATATGCAATAGATATTTGTTGAAAAAGAGTCCAAATTCCTATAGCAACACTCAGCTGACTTAGGACCACCTGTGAACCTGAATATACCACTGTTCCCCTATCATACTACACTTGGTTGGTTTTAATTTTATCTGCCTGAGCTGTGCAGTAATTTAAAAGTAAATTCTATTACATAATTTACATATAAAAAGAAAAATAATCATAATAATTTTTTTTAATTTTTAAAAACCTCTTCCAAAGTTAGCATCTAAAAGTCCAGAACTCCACAACAAAAAATGAAATGAGATTAAGAATAATCAGGAAACACAGATATCTCATCCTAAGCAGACAAGCCATTGTGAAAAACTATCTTCATCCTTTAGGCTCAAAACCTGGGCTCTGCTGGGCCTCTGTTTTGGCTTAACCTGAATTGGCCCAGGCAGGATTCATACTTGCAATATGCTTTTCTGTTAATCTTGCATTAAGGAATGGAAAAATGGAAAATAATTATAGTAAAATCTGAGCCAGTCTAGAAGACAGACTCTTTACCTTGAAGAATTCAATGAGAACTTCTTTATTTTCCAGCCAAATGATATTATGAAGGTATTTGTCAGGAGTAGGGGGTGGGATTGCCATTGGAAAGTTATTCAGTGCTTTTATTTTTCCAAGAAGTACCTAAAAGCAAATAAAATAATGATTATCAGATTCTGTAACAGAAAACTAACAGCAGGCAAAAGCTAAGAAAATCTAAATAAACTACTGTTAGGTAAATTTAACCTTGATTTTTTTGACTCACAGCTTCTCTCACTCTTATTTAAATTCCTATAGGCTTTTTGGCCCTTTTCTCCCCTATATTACTATTTTCACTGATTTATTAACTGAGATCAAACCTATCATCTCTATTATCTACTTAACACATTTACCCTACATTAATGTCAAATTTTCTAAACTTTGCAGTTGATTACTATTCAATTTAATGCCATCTTCTCTCAATTTTGATTTTTTTTAATTTTTTTTCTTTTTTTTTTTTTGAGGCAGAGTCTTACTTTGTCACCCTCAGTAGAGTGCTATGGTGCCATAGCTCACCGCAACCTCATTGTTTGGGGCTGATTTTCTGGCCTCAGCCTCCAGAGTAGCTTGGACTATAGGTACCCACCACAATGCTGGGCTATCTTTTTTAGAGAAGCGGTCTCACTCTTGCTCAGGCTGGTTCGAACCTGTGAGCACATGCAATCCACCTGCTTTGGCCTCCCAGAGTGCTAGGATTACAATTTTGTTTTCATGTATATGTCTTGCTTCTCTAAGTCCTTATTTTGGAGGATACAGTTCCAACCTTGTGGCCTCTGAGAAGCCTTGTCTGGTTTCCTCCACAAGGTAAGAGAGAATCATTTTATCCTCTTTATTCTTCCCGTATACCTACATATCTCCATCACAGAAGACATTACATTGTAGTGTTATTATTTCTACTTACATGTCTCACCCTTCATATTATATAACTTTTGTTAGTTGGATGAATAAAGGATTAAATGACAGAACAATGAACAGTTCACAGACTTTGGGGCCAGTGTTGTAGTAAATATCCCAATTTCCTCAAGAGTCCAGAGCGGTATCCAACATACCTTTACTCAATTGAATTGAATAGATTTTCCCATCTTATGAGCTGGCATGGATAATTACATCCCTTTCGCTGGCATTTAAGCAATCAATTAGTAAACAATCAATCAGTAACTGCTGGGTGATTCAATTTACCCATTATCTCTCTGAATACACCTGTTGGAAAAAACTCTCTCCTCACAAGGGCTATTATTGGTTTACTTAATTAATGGGCATCAAGCATTTAATTGTTTTATCCAGCTTTCAAAGTGATAAAAGGAAAAAGAAAATATGAAACAATACATGTGGAGGTGTAACTTGAAGAACACTATAAAGTAGCCCTCCTCTTCCCTCAGATGTTGAGAAGTCATATCACCCATTTAGTCCTCTCCTGTGATGTTACAGAAAGAAAAGAGATAGAGCCTTAAGGGGGGAAAGCTGACCTAGCCCACACTCACTTCCCTTCTGGGGTCACGGAGAGGGTACTTTGTCTAGGGAAGGACTAGAATCACACAGCTCATGGCGATCCATGGCTGGGGGGTGCCAGTGACAAGGAAGAGCACACAACATCCAGAAACAGTGTATCAGGGGGCAACGCAGACAGAACACAGGATCAGAACTTCTGCTGTATGCTAGGAAGGAGACCCTTACATGGGAGTAGAAAGAACATTCTTATTTTCTACAGATACAGTTTTGATGATAGGTGTAAAAGAGTTAGAGGACTAAACACAGCTTTCCCTTCACCTCAAGTTCCTAATTTTCTTGCAAATACATTTATAATATTTCAGAAGTCCATTTTTTAGCTAATGGATCAGGGTATCTTTCCTGCTCCTTTTCTCTTAGAACCTACCCTTTCCTGGGCCCACCAGCACAGGTGCACACACAGACATGCGCGCGCACACACACACACTGGCTGGTCCCCTATATACCGTGTAAAGATCACGTGACACCATCAGTGGGCCTGGGCTGTACATATTCCATTTTGCAGATGGAAAAGCAGAAAAATCTAGTGAGTCTACAAAAGGAGCTAGGGGAAGATGCCACAGAGGACAATGCTGATAGGAAGTGAAGAATCTGGAAAGCTTTCTAGGTCCTCGTTCAAGTCCCTTCCTGAGGCCTGGACACTTGGCCTGGCTATTGAGGGTTCTATAAGACACTCTGTATCCTTTTAATAAACTCCTAATCCCATTTCGTAACCAAGCTTAGCTCAGGTTCATTTTTGTCACTTGCAACCCAGTCGTTTTGACTAGTGAAGTACATCAGGCAGCATGGGTTGCCATTGGCATTATCAAAGGTGTTGCACAATTTCAGAGTTAACACCTGTGGTTAAACAATTTTTTCCAATCTGCCTCCTCATTATACCCAGCTAAAGTAGTAGGGCTGGCTGGGCTGTTAACTTGATGGCATGAAGCATAATGGGAAATTGCTCTCTTACCTTATTCATCTCAATGCCCTCATGTTTATCAATAATGCCTCTTGACCAAAGGAAGGTGAGATTCTTCAGAGCCTTAGAAATCACATTCCGGATCGCCTGCTTAGTCTTCAAAGCAATGACAACATCGCGACCCTCATGCTCTATGAGTCCTGAAGCAGATAAAATTCAGTAAGCAACCTGGGCAATAAGCACAATAACTAGTATTCGTATGATGACTTAAAATTTCCAAAGTATTTACACACTATCCTTTTATTCCAGAGAATTCCTGGACTAGAGTGAAAGGACTAGAGTTACTTTCATCTCCATTTTATAGATGAAGAACATTGAAAACTGACTCCCCCACCAGTTGAGAGAAAATCACTGCCTCTTATTCCCAGGGCTTCTCCTCCGTATCTCTCTTAGGGAACTCATCACATTACAGAATTACTATTTTTTACGTATCTGTTTCATCCTCCATATTGTATTTTTTTTGTTGATTAAATGAATAAATGACTGAATAAATAAATTTCTTTCCTCTGAAGGAAAGAGCCCCTGGACTTTGGCCGGTGGGTCTTTCTGAGGTCAAGTCACATCTTTCCGCAGTAAACCAAGAAGTCATGGAATGGACTGTGAGTCAAAGTTCAAACTGCATCTGTTATATCTTTACAGTCTTAAAACTGAGCACAATGCCCAGCATATGGAAGGTATTTACTCATTTTTTTAATGGAAATAGCTGACCAGTAAAGTGAAAGGTAGCAATGATCAAGAGATTTCAGCATCAATACACCTGGGCTACAGAACCGGTCCACCACTTACTAGCCATAAGGCCTCAAACAAGTCAACCTCTCTAATAATACCATTTGACTCAGATAATAATTATAAGGATTGAATGAGATAATATAGATAAAGCAGTTAATAGTTCCTGACATAATAAGCACTCAACAATCAGTAGCCATAACCATATGGTAGCAGGCACTCCCTTTTACAGGACTGAATCTAGAAAACTTGGTAATGTTTTATACTTATCTAAAACATAATATAAAATGGCAGTTCCTAGGCCCCTAATCTCTAAAAGCATAGAAATAAAAATCTGCCAATATGAAAAATGAAAATAGTGGGTCACGGGATTTCTGAGACAGTGCCAAAATATTCTGACCTACTATCTCCAAATTAACACTCCCATTCATTAGACCAAGTTCTTTACATTTTGACTAGAAAACAGACTCACTTTTTAAGGTCTACCCATCTTTGCTTCCCATACCTGGCCCATTACCTGCGTTCAATATGAAATGCATAAACAAATAAGTGAATGAGAGCACAGACTTATCTTCCTTCCATTAAATTATAGAACAATAAGGTATAACTTCAGGAAATCATATACTCTCTGTGGTCGCCAACCCCCAGGCACAGACAGGTAGTGCTCCGTGGCCTGTTAGGAACTGAACCACAAAGCACCACTTCCTGAGCTCTGCCTCCTATCCCTTCTCTCCACCCCCATCCGTGGAAAAGTTGTCTTCCATGAAATTGGAAGGATTCCAGTCCATGGCCTATCAGGAACTGGGCTGCCCAGCAGGAGGTGAGTGTGGTCAAGAAAGCAAAGCTTCATCTGTATTTACAGCCACTCACCTTCAGTTGCATTACTACCTGAACTCACCTCCTGTCCTGTTTCCATCTCCCCCTGACCCCCACATCTATGGAAAAGTTGTCTTCCATGAAACCACTCCCTGGTGCCAGAAAGGCTGAGGACTACGGCTCCAACTACCTACCTAGTTCTCTGACAGCATCTCGTTTGTTGGTTTCCAAAATTTTATGTATTTTCTGTAATGAATTAGGAAAAACATGCATCTCTTACTACACCAAGTATACTTCTGGCTTTAAATTCTGAGAAAAAGAAGTATGGTAGAGGAAATCTCCCTTAGTCAGATTTAGGAACCCTATTTGGTTCAATTCTTCCCTCCGGGTCAATTCTGCTGCCTCCCCCAGCTCAGACCTGAATTGCAATGCACGTTATATATAGTCAGTAGCTCACATACCTGCTGTGCCTAATAGTTCTCAGTAAAGATTAGTGTGTATTCCACTGTGTTCCAAGGAAAATTCTCATAGACAGAGCCTGACTTGGGAATGAGCCAAATGAGCAGCTATTTTGGGAACCAGTCTATCAGGAGCACAAAAGCAAGTGGAATAATGAGAAAGTGTGCTGTTGATTAGTGTATGTTTCCTCCAGATAACTGCTTACAAAACTGAAGAAGTAACTCCAGTCCAGGGCTAACCAATCTCTGTCCAATCAATCATACAACACAATACATATAATACAAGGTATTGCCAGATGCCCACTATACCCCAGGCACTGTTTCTCATGAAACTGAGTCTTTGGGGAGCTTGCACTTGGCCACAGCCACAGTTCTGAGACCAAACATCTGACAGTTCCTCAAGGTTGTCAGGTACAGATGTCTGAAGCCCTGCACCCACATAATGCATGGCAGAGTGCTTTGGACGGGGAAGAACTGGTTTGTTATCTAAAGTTTAGGCAAAGTTTTTGTTGCTTTTTTCAGTTTTTTGTTTCAGTTTAGATAAATATCACATCTAATAAATCTCTTATTTTGAATATAAGATTGAGGTGTACGATTTTATTAAAGTGTTTCTTCTCACTTAATAACATTGAATCAATATTGAGAAGGTGCCAAATTACTAGCCTGTCTATGGCACCAACATACTATGGTCCAGCCCTGCTTGTATTGGTGCATAGACAGCAGCTAAACCTCTTTCGTACCAAACCAGGCTGACAACAACACTGTAAGGCTGCTGTAGAATGACATTCCACAAGAAAGCATAGGAACCAGCTCCGCCTGCAAAGAGAGTACAGTTTTGAAAGCAAGGACATACCCATGTTTACTTCTCTAAAGGAGAGTGAGCTGCCACAGGCCAGTTTCCAGAACCAAGTCACTTTCAGAATAAACACCAGTTTGATAACAAAACACATTTCAAAGAGGCATTCAAACCTTTACCTCAGGTCTCCTTTAAAAATGCTATAGGAAATTTATTTCATCGCTTACACATCAAGGCAACTGGCCAGCAAATTTCCACATCTTCTCCCAAAGTCCTCAAAGCACATTCTTAACTCCTCCCCTCACTGGCTCTGGTTTTTCCTTTTCTTTTCTTCTTGTTTCTGAAACCTCTTCTCCTACCATCTTTCTGACACAGATTAACCAAGCCTTTCAGTAGGTCTTCCACTTTTCGTCTCCATTCTTCAAAGTAAATTAACAGGATAGAATTGTTGTACATGAACGTTCAATCCAGTAAGGGTAGGCATCTTCACAGCCTCCTTCCCTCTTCTGACTTCAGACAGGAAAGAGCCTCTCATTCTCGGCTAAAAAATTGCCATCACAAAAAGTAGATGTCCCAACCAGACAGGGGTCCTCAAGCTTTTTAAACAGGGGGCCAGTTCACTGTCCCTCAGACCGTTGGAGGGCCAGACTGTGGGCCCCAGAGACGAGTCGGCTGCTAAGCAGGACAGGCAGCAGCGGCAAAAACACCCAGCAGGCTGGATAAATGTCCTAGGCCGGGTGCATGTGGCCCACAGGCCGTAGTTTGAGGACCCCTGCAGTCTGTCCATGGTTTTATGTACACACCCACAATCACTGTATCTAGGGCTTTAGTTAAGCAGGATTTAAGTTCATCATCAAGTTAGAAATTAGGAGTATCTTCTTGGGGGCGGGACACAATTATAAGAGGGACTTTAGCTAACAAATGCAATCATCATAACCTAATTATTTGTACTCTCAGTAAATCCCAAACAATAAAAAGAGAGAGAGAGAAATAAAAAAATATAAATATAAATATAAAAAAGAGAAATCAGGAGTCTCACTTGGACTGAGAAAATTTCTTTTTTTTGGGGGGGGGGCGGGTTTGAACCTGCCACCTCTGGTATATGGGGCCAGTGCCTTACTCCTTTGAGCTGAGAAAATTTCTTTCAACTACAGATACTGTTCAGTTTAGACCTTTATTTATATATATGGTAATATAAACCCAAATCACCAAACATTAGGGAAGTGGGGGACAGAGTGAAAGACAGAAACCCAACACAAGAAATGGGAGAATGAACTCCAAGCACGCAAAGTAGAGAATCTTAAAGAGATTCGAGACAATATATAGTAGGGTTGCTTTTTTTTAAGAAAAAGAAATAGTTGCTATAAAAAAGAAGCAACAGCAATTTGTAGAGATCAAAAAGTGATTATCCAAAAAAAAAAAAGACGGTTTAATACATGGAGCGAACAGCAGAATGAACACAACTCTGGATGAATTAGTAACCAAGTTAAGGGATTCTCATTGCAAAGAACAGAAAGTTGAAAGTTATGAGCAAAGTTGAAACAGGGACTAACTCTAAAAATTCAAAAATCTGTTTAAAAGGGTGTTAGGAGAAAACACAAACAAGAGGAAGAAAGATGGGAATCTTCAGACTGTAGGTCCTGCCTAGGACTATATGGGGGAAAGCGTCTTTACATCACACCTATACATATCCTAGTGAAATTCCAGAATTCTAAGGATTATGAGAAAAGGTTAAAAGCTTCCAAAGAGAGAAAGAAAGTAAAATCAGACATATCAGCAACGTTGAGGAGGGGAAACACCTTCAAGTTTAAGCAAAGAAAATGGTTTTGGAGAGTCAAACTATTAATGATGAGACCAAAGTAAAATAATTTTAGAACTATAACTCTTTGAATCTTATTTAAAAAATTACAGGCATAATTCAACACAACATATCGGTGATTTTCAACTGGCATGCCATGAGAGGAGCTTAGATGTGCTGCAAAAAATTTTAAAGATCATTAATTCAATTATTCTCAAAAGAAGTTCAAAGCACAGTCACTATATCCTTTTTTTTTTACTGCTTTTTTTGATCAACATAATTTAAGTGTGCCATAGAAGCTTAACTACAGGTTCAAGTGTACCGAGATTAAAAAGGCTGAAAAACACTGCAATAAATCAAATGGAAAATAAAAAGAGGTTCACATGGAATTTAAGAAAGAGCAGCTAGGCTCGGCGCCTATAGCTCAACCGGCTAGGGCGCCAGCCACGTAGACCTAAGGTGGCGGGTTCGAATCCCCAGCCCGGACCCGCCAAACAACAATGACGGCTGCAACCAAAACATAGCCGGGCGTTGTGGCGGGCGCCTGTGGTCCCAGCTACTTGGGAGGC